TCCACGGTTGCCGCCGCGCCCGGCCGCCCCGAGGACCACGCGCCTTTCCGCGCCGCGGCATCCCCGCCGCCGCCGGCCCTAGACCCCGCCCGGGAGGACCCCGACTCTCCGTCCGGCCGCCCCGAAAACCACGCGCCCCCGCAGTCCGCGCCCCCGTCGCTGAACGCCGCCCTTCTGCAGACCCTGGGGCACCTGGGCGACATCGTGGCCATCTTGGGTCCTCTGCGCGACCAGCTGCTGACCCTGAACCAGCACGTGGAGCAGCTGCGCGGCTCCTTCGACCAGACCGTGTCCCTGGCCGTCGGCTTCATCTTAGGCAGCGCCGCCGCCGAGCGAGGCGTCCTGGCCGACCCGCGAGATTGAGGCCTGGCTGCCCCGATCCTTTCTGTACGATCACGTTCCCTCCGCCCTGACCCCATCCTGCGGCCCTCCCCTACTCCAAGTCTAGGTATGTTCAATAAAAAGATTGTTTTTTTCCGATATAATTCTGTGAACGCGTGCACGTCTTGTGTTAGATAGGAGTGGTCCCTACTAATACGGCCTGCAGAGATCAGGCCGAGGTTAAAATGTCTCCCTGTGGGGTGGGGGGTGGAGGGCCTGGGCTGCCTGTGCCTTGGGGCCTGCTGGGATGCTGACTAGGACCTCCCCTAGGAGGCAAGGGCACATCGAATGGGAAGTTGGGGTCCTTGTAACACTGGCTTTCCCCGGAGCCTCCCAGACCCTGCCCGCCAGAACTTTGCACCAGCCCAGCCTTGGTGGGTGAGCATTTTCTGCCCTCCCTGGGAGCCCAACTGAGCGGGACCAGGGGGGAGATTGGACCCCCAGGGAAAATAGCAGTGACCGGACTCTGCCTGAGCCACTGGGGGTGGGCATTAGAGGGTCTCCTCCACTGTGGGCACGCTCCCCCAGCCTAACCAGAGCTGCCGGTGGGGTGTGCTCAGAGCCCCACCCCGACCCCAGTCGGGCCTAAACCTTCCGGCTGGGTTCTGGAAAGCAGGACTCCTTAGAGGCAGCTGGGAACAGGACAGCCAACGCATACCAGGAGAAGGGGCTCCTTTTGTCCCCGGGGAAGTGACTGCTCTGGGTAGCCCAGGCTCTGAGACTTTGGCCGAGGACCACGTCCTGCAGATTTGAGAGGACTTGACCGAAACCGCCCTGGGAGCATTTTCCAAATAGTAACTGAGCCCCACCCTCTTTCGGTGGATCCAACGAATGAGAACTGGGTGGGCCGGGAGGTGCTCCTGCCCTGGGGAGATAAGGAAGTAGCCCGAGGCAACTGGCCAGCATAACAATACAGTTTCACCAAGTAGGGGTTCTTTTCAGGGACAAGTGATTGCCCCGAGGCCACAAAGCTAAACAGGTGTTCTTGCTGGCCCTGTGTTCCAAGGTTCCAGCAGTACCTGGGGCTTGGGGTGGGGGTGGGGGGTAAAGCCCCTCCCCCAAGCCCTTTTCAGGAATCTTTGGAGGAGAGACCCCAGGTGGACCCTTGGCCTGCAGAGATCCCCAAATGGGAGCAGGAGTGGTCTCCCAGACCCCAGAAGCTGAGCCCACCCGTGGGCTGTACATTTATGGCAGATCCTGGGGGCTCTGTGAGACCAAAACTGTAGAAGTGACTCAAAGCGTCACCTCACTTAAGACAGACACACTTTCTTCTGCTTCACGATGCTGTCTATGCTATGATCCCTGAGAGTGTCTAGGCTGCCAAAAACCTGCTGTGGGGTGATTCCAGCTTGCAGACCTACCCCCCCACCCCACAGGCCACCTCCCGCTGGAAGGTCAGAACCACAGGCTGGGGCAAATATGTCAGCCTCCCGGGATGGGGGTGATGCCCGGGGACCCTCTGCCCTGGAGGAAGGCTATTTTGTGGCTGAAAGAAATCTGTGGAGGTCATCGAGTTTGAGAGGCTTGAAGGCACCTCGGAAAACCCATCTGCCTTACTGCCCACCTTACAAATGGGGTGCATCCCGTGGCCTCCTCAGGCCCCTCGTGCTGGAGTAAGGAACCTGAACGTTCCTTCTCTGCCCATCTTCTGTGTCTTCCAGCCTGGGGAGAGGAGTTTGGGCTGTTCATGTTTCCTGGGCTCAACCCAGCTGCTTGGCCGGGTTCTCTGTTCCTTAAACCTGCTGTTGTGGATGCCCCAAAGATTCCCAAATCCCTTCTCGCTGTCCCTCCCCTTCGTCCGGGGCTATATTGTGGGTCAGTGAGGTGAGGCGTGTCCGCACCCTGTTCTGTGATGTGCGTGTCTTATGCTTGGTTCTGGGCACGTGGGACAGACACGCCACAGTGGCGATGCTTTCACTGGCCATTAGCAATCCTTCCCTGGGCCTGACCACAAGCACAGGGCAGTGTCTCCAGCAGGGTCTCCTAGGACTACTCCTCAGATTAGTGCCCTCTCCCTAGGGGCCCCTGGAGAGCAGATTCATACCCTTCATTTCTTTTTTAATTTTAATTTTTTTGTTGTTGTTGTTATTGAGAGAGAGAGAACATGAGCAGGGGAGGGGCAGAGAGAGAGCGAGAGAGAGAATCCCACGCAGGCTCCGTGCTCAAGCTCACCCCATGCGGGGCTCAAACCCACGAAATCGTGACCTGAGCCGAAGCCGGATGCTCAACCGCCTGAGCCAATGAGGTGCCCCTCTGTTTTTAGTCTGTTGAGGAATCTCCATACTGTTGTCCACATGGCTGCACTGTTTCACATTCCCGCCAACCGTGTACAAGGGTTCCAGTTTCTCTGCATCCTCGCTGACGCAGAGATTTTTTTTATAGTAGCCACCCCAGTGGCTGTGCAGTGTGCACCTTCGATGACCATTCTTACAGCGTGCATTCTGGCAGGTGCCAGAGTGCCTGTCGTGCCCAACTGCCTCCTTGCCTGGGCGACCCGCCCGTCTAGTGTGGAGCTCCCCGTCGTGCCGTTCTGTTCTGTGCTGCCCTGCGGGCCAGGGATCGTGCACATCGCCTGTGTCCTTCCTCAGTTCAGCCGAAGAAGCTCTGTGGCTGAGGGTCCTCTCCGCCCAGCTGCGGGACCGCCCACCCAGCCCAGCCCAGCCCAGCACCTTTGCATTCTGGGGCTGGAACCAGAAGGAGTGTTTTCACATCTTGCTGATCCGTCAAGGACCAGTGCTGTCCAGGGCCTTGTGAAGTAACCTTTATCTGGTGATCAATCTGTTGCTTACAAGAGAACACCTCAATGTTAAATGCATTTTTCTACAAGTAGGCAAATAACCCTATCAATGTGCGGGGCAGCTTTTGTACTCCCGAATAGCTCGACACTCCTTATCTGTAATTAGCTCTGGTACCTGCACTCTCTCTGATGTCCAGTTGTGCCTCAAAACTTAACAGAGGTTGGGGCACGTGAGTGGCTCAGTCAGTTAAGTGCCCTACTCTTGATTTCGGCTCAGATCCCGATCTCACAGTTCCTGAGATGGGAGTCCCACACTGGGGGAGCCTGCTTGGGATTCTTTCCCTCCCTCTGGCTCTCTGCCCCTCCCCTGCGCTCTCTCTCAAAATAAACATTTTTTTAAAATTAACAGTTAAAAAACCAAACTTGGGGCGCCGGGGTGGCTCAGTCGGTTAAGTGTCCTACTCTTGATTTCGGCTCAGGTCATGATCTCACGGTGGCTGGGACTGAACCCCGAGTCGGGCTGAGCTGAGCTTGGAGTTTGCTTGGGATTCTGTCTTCTCTCTGCCCCTCTGACTCGTGCTTTCTTTCTCTCAAAATCAATCAATGAATAAAAATAAAAAATTTAACAGAGGTAAACTTCCTTTGTAACTTCATGTTTGAAATTGCTGTCTTCTCGGGCACATGCACCCCAATGTTTATAGCAGCGCTGTCCACAATAGCCACAGTATGGAAAGAGCCCAAATGTCCATCGATGGATGAATGGATAAAGAACACGTGGCATATACATACAGTGGAGTATTACTCGGCGATCAAAAGGAATGAAATCTTGCCATTTGCGACTACGTGGATGGAACTAGGTATTATGCTGAGCAAAATTAGAGAAAGACAGATATGATATGACTTCACTCATATGAGGGTTTCAAGATAAAAAACAGGTGGACGTAAGGGAAGGGAAGCAAAAACAATATAAAAACAGGGAGGGGGACAAAACACAAGAGACTCTTAAACATGGAGAACAAACAGAGGGTTGCTGGTGGGGGTGTGGGAGGGGGGATGGGCTAAATGGGTAAGGGGCAGTAAGGAATCTACCCCTGAAATCATTGTTGCACTATATGTGAACTAACTTGGATGTAAATCAAAAAAAACAAATGAAAATTTTTTTAAAAAAATAAGAAATTGTCATCTTCTTGACTGTCGTTGTCTGTCCGTCCAGATTCTTGTCTCTTCCACGCTTGTGTCCCTAATTACATTGATCTTTGGAACATTCTCAAACCTGCTGCTTTTGGACTCTGCGGGGGCTCTGAAACCTGCATCTTTTTCCAAGTCAAAGCAAACAGGGCTGAGTGATCTTGACCTATCATTTCTTTCGCAAAGAACACCTAAGATTTTGGTAAATTGGCTTATCCTTCATATGATTTATAGTGAGATGAGGTAACCCCTGTGTTCCTTCAGTCTTACCAGAGGCCTGATTTCCCCTTTCTTTCCAGGTTCAGTGTCTTTGAATTTCTTCTTCAAAGAAGGATTCCTTCCTTCTTTGCACCCTGGAGGCCGGCCACTGTGACCATAGTACTGGCTGCTACTTAGCCTTCCACACCGGTTCTGCTGCTAAATGGTTCCGTTAGAAGCCATATTGTTCTGCATTATGGACTGGATGTTTGTGTCCCCAAAATGTGTATGTTGAAATTCTAACCCCCAATGTGATGGTGTCAGGGGACGGGGCCTTTGGGACAGGACTCAGTCCTGAGGACGGCGCCTCATCGTTGAGATTGGTGCTTTCTGAGACAGGACAGCAAGGGAGTGGCCATCGGCTTGCCAGGAGGTGCCCTCACCAGAACCCCACCACACCACACCCCGATCTTGGACCTCCCGCCGCCAGAGAAAGAAATGTCCTCTTAAGCCCCCAGTCTGTGGTGCCCTGTTGCGGCGGCCAAGCTCCCCCAGACACTTGTCAAATCTCTCAAACAAGTGCATTCGAATCCAACAGTGAGTCCAATGTTCCAGAAGTCTCCCCTGCCAGCCCCTCACCTTGTTTCCCATGATGCCCAGCAAGGCAGCTCACTCTTCACATCCGTGTGCTAGTGCCTCCCAGAACGGTCATTTGCTATCTGAATCTAGAGAAATCCTAACATGTTTTTTGTTCTTCCGCTTCACCCATGGCTCTGCCAGCGTGAGACTCCCTTCCTCACCTGGCCCAGCCCCAAGCCCTGTTGGGTCCCGGGCACGGACCTGAGTCTGACGGTCCTGGTCTTCTTCCCAGGCCTCACACGCAGATGCAGCCCGGCACCAGTAGGTGGGGAGTCTGCTTGGGGTGCAAGCATTGGCCATTTACCCACATGCGACAAGCCACTGTTCCTTCTAGCGGGTTTTCCTGCCTATACAGTGAGTCTAATTTCTTTCACCTTCAGGACACCTGGCGGACACTCCATTCCTTCCCCCATTCTCTGAGCCCTCGGTTCTGATGTAGTCCTTCAAGGGCCCTTCCGGCTTCCCCAAAAACGTCAGATCCCTAAAGGGATCAACAGTAGGTCTCACTTCCTTTTGATGCAATGGAACCTGATTAACCCCGCCTGGTTTTCTGGTTATATCTTCTACCAGAGAGTTACCTGTATCAACCCTGCGGTTCTCCGATCTCCCGCGTCCCCCTCCCACCTGCCTTTGTAAACAGAGCTGGAAGGTCGGGCGTCCTTTGGCCCTGACACTAACTCGATTCTCCACCGAGGTGGGCAGGGGAGGGGAGGGGGAGGGGGCCTCTGCCTCATCACACCTGCAGCCTGGGAATCCCACACCCCACCCACTCTGCTCTCTTCCCAGACTATTACCCAGCTGAGTGCCCCACGCTCACACCTTGCTTCTTTCCGCCCGAAGCACAAACAGGGAGGTCAGGGGGCTCCCACGGGAAGGGAGGCCGACCGAAGGGGAGTCTGGAGGGCAGGGGGCCGTCGAGGGAAGTCTGGGGAGGCAAAAGGAGGGGGAGGGGTGGAGAGGGAAGGGGAGGAGCCGCCCCGTGGGTGATCCGACGTGGGGGCGTGGCGGGCGGGCCGCGCGGTGTGGCTCTG